CTATATTTTATCATTTTTTAATTTATACACACATACATATATATTTGAAAGAATGTACTACTGTTTATAAAATATTTCAGCATATACTTTGTACAGCATTGTATAAATATTTATCGAAAATATTAGCAAACATATGTACGAAAACAAATACTTACACATTTGTCAATAAATAAAGAAAAATAATAATTAAAAAAAGGCAAAAATACAAATAAACAACTTAAATGGTGTTATCCAAGCTGAATAAATGCCAACGGCCACTAGTGCTGGCTTAACGGTGTTGAGCTTCAAAACAGAGCAAAACAGAAGCAAGCTGATAATAAAGTCATTGTTGTTGGTTGGCTGCAAAAAAATTTGCACAAGCTTATATAAATATTTGCACACGTTTGCATTACACTGTGTACACATATACGTAAATATGTTTATACGCAAAAGCATCCAGGCTCATAACCCTATTTGCTGTGACACACAGTGCAAAAATTATCGATTGTCAATCGTTTAGCAAACTTAATGCTACAATTATTGACAGCTGTCAACAGCTGGCTGGGAAAAATGAGATAAACGGCGTATTTATATATGAATATATACAAACACAGACAGAACTGCATAGATATGTATATGCGGTCTATCTAGCAAAACAAAGATCTAAATAAAAAAAATATAAAAAAAAACTACTTGGCTAAGCTAATCGATCAAGCGCTTGCAATGATAAATTATTTATCGAAATTAGTCAATAATTGTGTGCCAATTTATTGACACGAAATCCACCATTATATTACATATTTTTAGCATGCTTTCGCTTTCTTGAAGCTAAATGTAATGCTAAAGAAATAGTAATAATGCAAAAACAAAGACACAACAACAACGCTAAATTGATTGACACAATTTATTGTTGCTTCTCGCAATTCTTCAATTGAATTGTAAATTGGTTTTTATGGCAACAACGTCCTCTGCTCAATTATTTCTCAATGCATGCGTGAGGAACGCGACTTTACAGGGACGATGCGGCTCTGGAACTACTGAAATTTATACTTATGTTCTTGTATATCGAAATATATATGCATTTATCAGTAGCGCAATGCTGGGCGTCTTTGAAAACTAAATTTAAGTTGCCACATGCAATTTATGACATAAATAGTAGTATTGAGGACACCGAGTGACCCAATATACACACTTGTAAATATGTATAATATGAGAAAATTATGAGATTGAATAATAATTCTTGAAATATATATAGTTTATGAACATATTTTTATTTGCATTATCATTTCTAACGCAATAGATGCTAATTGATCGATAAAAATTAAGTGTCTATAATTAGCAATAAAATTAGCACCTTTTGCCATAAAAGAAAAAAATATAGCAATAACAATTACTTCATGCTTTATTAGTATATAATGACAAGCTTTTGACAGTTCGTCAATTTTAACTGAGCCATCAGAAGACACATTAGCGAATTCAAGCACCTACTTAGTTAGCCAGCTGCAACAACAAGCCTTGAGTATTTGGCGTAATGAAAACAAGGTTTGTAATAAATACATTAAAAAAGATAGCAATTAAAATTTTCAGCACTTTTTTGGCAAGCATTATCGCTAGTAATTTTTTAAACGGCTGCCATTTGTGGACATGCAATCGAATTTAAAAGGTAATGGAAATCATTTGCTGAGACAGTTCCAATTAAATTTCGCAAATTTATGCGTTGCTCAAATATTTATCGATTTACTTGGTATATGCAACCAAAATAAAATTTTAATTTTACAATTTTTATTTGCACTTTCAATTTTTTTTTGCTCATTGGTATGCGTGGACATTCACAAATATTTATATGTATGTGCGTAAGTGCCATATTTTTTCAAGGCAGTGCATCAAACGTAAAACAAGTTTTGCTTCTCATCTTTTAGTCGTTATTTTTTGACTATATTATAAATATTTAATGACAAAATGGGTTTGTATTTAGCGACTGAAGCGCAACTGCTATTATAATGGGTACAAATGCATATAGATATATGTACAAGTATACTATAAGTATCGCATCAAGTCAGGTAGTTCAGGTCAGCTGACTTCGGTTGAGCTGCTTATATTTATATAGGAGTGTATTTAAAAAACAAATTGGTTTACAGAAGTTACGTAGTCGATTTTTACATATTTATCGATAGTTCGTGAATGGATTTTTCGACTACATACATATATACTTATTAGGGCTCTTAAAATTATTCCAATAACCCGAAAACGGATTATTCGAATATCCGGTTTGTAACCGTTCGTACGAATATTAACCGAATAGTACTATTCGAAAAGTCATAACAATGCGACGTTCTCTGCGACTATTCGAAAAGTTGCTCTGCTGCGTGTATTTAAATAAATGAAAATTGTTTGAAATCCAAGCAGCCTTTGATTTTTCCTTTTTTGTTTTTGTTTTTTGAATGGACGCTTGCTATTCGAATAGGCGACAACGAACGGTTAACCAAATAGACGACAGCTTACGACTATCCGGATAAACCATCCCGAATATTAGTATTCGAATAATGCCGTATCCGGTTAATCCGGTTAGTCGAATACCAAGAACTCTACTACATATATGCATGCAAAATCAAAGACATATATTTATGGTCACAAGATTGAGCAAAATAAGAAAAAACCTTTACTTCATTTGCATCGAAGCTATAATACCCTTCACAAGGTGCATTTCTCATAGCATAAAATGGTATACTGAGATCTTTATCTTTATCTCAATGCTTCTGTTTGTATGACGGCTATATGCCATAGTGGTCCGATATAGGCGATAATTTTGCGGAATTTTGATAAGGTTGCCCCCTGTTGAATTCAATTAAATTGTGAAAATAAATTAAGAATTATATTGTAGGAGATGCATTTGAGAATGCTTGCCATCTGCCTGAATAATTTGCGATCAATCATGTTATTCCTGGCACAGCTCTTATTTTTTTTTTTGTTAAATATTTGTATTTGATTGAATATATTTTCAAATCCGCTCATCATAACATCGACATATATACATATACATATGTTATAAATATTAAGAAACGACCTTAAATTAAGACGTTTAAAGAGAAATATTTGAGCCACTTTTATGATTGATTTGTGTGTTTTCTATATTCAGGATGGCTTTAAGCACGAATGACATATGGAAAAATACACCAACAGAAATCCGTGCGAATGCTGCCACGTTTCTCCCACATATACCATACACTATTATATGTATGTATGTATTTATGCCTACTATGAGTATTAATTACATGCAATCTTGGAAATTCTATCGCAGCACACATGACACAGTTGTGTCAAAGCAGAAAGTGTGATCAACACAGAAGAAAAAACAAACACAATAAAAAATTAAAAATATACAAATGAAATAGTATAAAATAACATATTCATAGTAAGAGATATATATGAGAGGAGAGCGCTAGTGGGTTGTGATGGCCACACCTGTTGCGGTGACAATACCAAATGACGTACAATGGCTGAATATAAATCTTTGTTAACTAGTATAAATTTACCCACAATTCACCGATCGAAACAAAACGTGTGTTTTTTTCGAAAGTTAAGCTCCCGCTTGAGTTTTCTGGCAAAAACCCAGCAAGCATAATCTCAAGTTATTTTATATTTGCGTTTTCATTTGGTTCTCAAATGTATTTCGTAAGTTTAAAAAACATATAGCAATTAGGTGCCTAGTAGTAGTAGTAGTAGTAGTAGCGCAAGCTTTGAGCTTTTTCAGACAAGCCCCTTAAAATTGTCTTTTAGAAATTAACACACCGATATCTCGAACAATTCTCTTAGTCACTTCTATTAATAATATAATTTAGAGTTATCGCGCAAATTTTGGCTCACGTGGTTAACTGATCACTTTCATATTCATATCTGCTTTGCGGTCTGTTAAGCTTTCGGTTTTAGTTTCTTATTATACTGTGGTCACATGGATATACTTGTAGGTATAGAAAGAGATACAGAATGAATGTGTATGAATAGGAACAATTGATATTTTCCTTTTGCATGAAATTTTGTTGTTTTTAAGTAATATATAAAACTGCAACAAATAAAAAAACGGTTATAGAAAAGGAACAAAGACATAATTATAATAAATACATCAGTATTTATTTATTTGTATATCGCTAGTATAAGTTTCTATATTTAAAAAAATTTATTTATCTATTATTGATATTTTATATTTAAAAAAATTTATTAATCGTCGTTTGCTTCATTGGAATACGAAGATTACATTTGATGGCTTTTTTCTGATTTTGTTCAATCCATCCATTCAAATCGCTGACTGAGAATTAAAGCCGAAAATATTAAATAAAAATAAGGATATAATTTAACGTTATTTGCATTTGGAATAGCTGCACTCAGCAATTTAACTCCATTCCTCATTGTCAAAGTATCCTCATCTTGCCTTAAGAATGACAAAATAGGAAAATCATACTCTTCAACAAAATTACCCTGCCTTTACACTTTGTTGAAAAGGAAATAAATACAAAACATATAGAAACATTAATATAGTAATTGTTTCTTTTACATTTTTTTCATGCCCTGTTTTGTATTCTGGTTTCACCACAATTTTATTTTTCTTTGTTCAACTTTTCTACATACTCGTTTGTCTTCTTCATGTTGTTCGTTAAACCGAGTACTGACAAATTCCCGTTGTTAGGGTACTTTATTATCTTAAGGTACGTTATTTAAGGTACTCAATGTAAAAAATTTGCTTGTTCATTATAATCGGGTTTCGCTAAAACGAATATTCGTTATTACATATAAAATGTATTTTAATAGAACATAATGGATTTTATCAATTTTGGATATACAAATTTATTTATTTTTTAACAGGTGTGTTTAAGTTATATTTTTATTTAATTGTAACGGTAAAAAATTATCGTTAAGTATTAGAACAAAAAAACGTTGTAAAAGTAATAAAAAAAAAAACTTAAAACAAAAACAAACAGTAAAAAAATATATAAAATAAGAAAATTTTATTTTTTTTTATTTTTATAATTTGTTTATGATTTTTCGCAAATAAATTTAAATCCATATTTTAAAGCCAGTGACTGCTAATTTATGAAGAATTTAGTTGAAGAGGTCAAGTTTTACGACATATGGCAATCCTTCTCATTTTCAACGCCACTAGTGTGTTTTCCTAAATTATATATATTCATATACATATATATGTATTCACAAAAAATATGCTGTTATATAAAATTTGCGATGAAATTCATTAATTTTCAGCAAATAATTTTTACTACACTCTGTGCGACGCTGATAGCGTCAGTAAGATGAAAACATAATGAAATAAAGAATGAAGTTAAATAAAACGTAATAGATTGTTGACAATAAAAAATAGCAAAAAATAATTAAAAAATTAGAAAACATTTTACCTCTCAAAATATTCGGAATAAACCGCAGTCGCATAGTGTTTAAGCTTAAAATCCAAGCGCGCAAAGTTTAATCACCCTGAAATCGTCCGAAAAAAATACTTTGTCTTTTTCTCCACGCTACGTGGTCGCCACAACCACAGCGCCTCGTAACGGTTTATTGCAAATTTGCCTTTTGCATAAATTAATAGATACAAAGAAGAGTGAACGAAAAATGCGTTTTACCGCTTTGCAAACACTCTTTATATGCACACATACATACCAGACAATTATGTACATTCATTCATATGGAATTAGATATGTAAATATTGAAGTTGTTGCGCGCGAATGTGCATCGTGCGTGCGCAGTGTAGGGCGACGAGCATTGAACCAAACGACAAAGTGACAACGTTGTAAAAGGCAATAGAAATTTCTGCAGTTTTTGTGAAATTTTTGGCAGCGAACGCGTTGGCCGACATATTTACATACCTATATTCATATTTCGTTGCAGAAAATGCAATTTATTAGCGCTTAGAGCTTGCACCTTGCTTGGTAAAGTGAAAAGCAAAATGTGGTAAAATTGTTCAAAATACTTAGTAAAATATTTTCTGTAGTGAAAATGAGCTGTGAAAATACAACAACAAAAGCTACAACATTCAATAATACGTGTACGCGCTGCTGGGAAGCTTCCAGAAACCGCACCTTTTCACTTAAAAAATTTTCTTGGCTGACTGCCTGAAGACTCTGGCACAAACCCAAACAGGTACTTATATGCCATATAAATATATGTATGTATGTATGTATATAATATACATATACATACAAGTATATGTATATCGATAAGCTTTATCTAAGCTCTGTTGCCATTTGCATAATCTAGTGTTGCAGTTGTTGTTGCTCTTTACTGACATAATGCGTTGTGGCAGCGCCTGTATTACAACATTTTGTTTTCCTTATGCATTTATTGCTTAATTGTTGACATCTATGTTGCAGGTATGCATTTTTATAGATCGATTTTTTCTGGGGTCTGCATATAGTCACTTGTCTATTTGAATTACTTTTTTGTAATTAGTTAGAAAATGCAATGCCAATTTTAAAGATAAACAGTAATTTCTTTGCACACATATCGATTGGCAGACGACACAGTTGCCTTGAGCACAATAGGACTGAAAGCATTGCAAATTGTTTTAAAATATCTGCAGCAATAGGTTAAAATAGCTTAATTTTGATATTAGGATTTAAAGTAAAAATCTGGACATACATATATTACAAAAGTATTTATGATTGTAAATCTGTTTTCACATTGGACGAGTAGTAATACATGCATATGCATATATACCATACATATACATATTTATCAATCATGTAGGAGTATATAGAAATAATAGGATTTTATTAATAAATATAAATATATACAATTTGCCACCAAAGAATAAATATTGCATTAACCCTATTTTTTTAAATTAGTCTAGAGATCTTTTTTTTTAGTTTGGTTATATGCCAGGTAACGGTACCGGTATGTAGTGAGCGTTAAGATACAAAATTGTTTGTTGGGAACATTTGTTGTGAAAGCGACTTAATTTGCATCTGAAGAAAAGTGCTGCAGAGTCGCATCGAATGCTTGTCGAGGCATATGTTGAGCATGCTCTATTACAAGCAACATTCAAAAGATGGTTTCAACAGTTCAGAGATAATGCTTTTGATGTGATAAATGAAGAACGTGGAAGACCAAGTTTGAAGACGCCGAACTGCAAGTAATATTGGATGAAGATGGTACTTTAAGTCAAAAGCAAATGGCAGCCATGATAAATGTTGCACAACAAATAATTTTAGACCGTTTGAAAGCTATGGGAAATATCCAAATGTGTGGAAACTTGGTGCCACATGAATTGAATGAAAGACAAATGGAAAACCGAAAAAACTGTTGAAACTTTTGCTTTAAAGACATGAAATAAAAGCAGTTTGGCATCGAATTGTCACTGGCGATAAAAAGTGGATTTATTTAAAGAATCCTAAACGGAGAAAATCATGGGTTGATCCATAATGAAATATTTTTGAACAGTTTTTTTAATATTTTCTGTTGAATTACTAACTAAAATATTTAAATTTTACACCATAGGAAAATTGTAGCTCAGTGGATTGTACATTACTTGGAGCTTGGACATCAAGGGACTTTTTTCTGCCACTGTTAGCTCCAGACAGGTGAAGGAAATTTAACTATATCCTTGGAAAAACTTCAGTAGGGTATAATTCAAGACACAAAGTTAGAGGCACTTGGATGCTAACTCTTAAAAGATAACATTTTTTTTGGAGTTATGCAACAACTATTACTGAGAAAACATTTTCTGAGTGTCATTTGTGTCTAAGATATGGTCGCTTCTTTATAAATTTAAATATATATATATTTCATACAACAAATTGCTATTCGAACAAATTAAATTATTTGTATCTTTATATGTTGGTATATTATATATATATTATATAAAAAAAACTTGTTTTTCACCGCTTGTTTACCGCTTTTTGACGCATTCATTATGAATAAATAAATACGTCAGTATGTCATATCAAATAGAAATCAATATAGCATAAATAAAATAATTACATTTTTATTAAACGCCATTTTTTCGCAACACGCTGCCCTCGCTTAACAGCGACACATACATATAGACATATATAATATTATATATATATTTACAATAACTTATATACTTTTTTAATTAGAATTTCATAGGTTTAAGAAATCTTTGTGATAATATGTTGTTTATTGTCTCGGCATATTTCAAATGATATAATGGTTTTACTTTTTTTTTTGTTTATAAATTAATAATAGGTGCGTTCTTCACTAATTACAACAAGTGCTTATCTATATTTAAAAAAATTCAGTTTCTTCGAAATTGCAATTTTGTTGCGCTCTGACGTCGAAAAACCGAAAAAAATTACTGTCATGAAACCCGTTAACCGAAATCTTCGTTGCCGTAAACTTTCACTTTGCTTGCATATACTGCTTTATTATTAAGCACTACGTACATACTCGCATATTGTCACGCTCTTCTTGACATTATTTATTTAAATTGATTTTCGAAATATAGCAGTAAATATTGAAATAGCATTTGTTTCTAAATATTTTAAGTGATTTCACAAAAGCAAGTTCTTTTTAGACTGCCAAATGTCTGCTTTTTGGCGTTCACACGTCAACATTTTGGTAGAAAATAGATTCAAGGGGCAACGCAAGCAAATTGACAGATATATATTATAGAAGATGAGCAAAGCAAATTAGGCGATTTGTAGTGCGGAAAGGCAAAAGAAGCAACGCAAACGAAATAGTTTTAAAAGGTAATAACAGCAATGGGACAAAAGAATATAAATAAAAATAAAAGTATAAAAACAAAAAAATGTAAAACAAAACATTAGAAGATTTCAGAAAAGAGCATATTGTTAACAAAACAAATACTGAAATCTCAAACGTACATATGTATATCTAGACAAACTAAAGCAAGCAGCAAAAAATATCTAAAAATATGCAATTTGCTGCGGAATATTCTAGTAAAATATTTTAAAAGGTCGAATTCGAAATTATATTATTATCATATTTTACTATCAAATATAATTCAAATGCTTGGGATGGGCACAATTGAGCGGGTTCATAAACGTCGGTATATGAAGAATTAAGCACAGTCAAAATAAAATTTATAAGCGGAGACGTCTCAGCGACAAGTCAACTTCTCCGGGTAAATGCGGTTCGATTTCGCATAATATACGGATAATGTTTCGTACCTCCACAATAGTGTGTGTTCGGTAAAAATTATCATGATGGTTTTAGGGTGGAATGGTGTAGTCTTATATGGCTTACATTTGGAAGGCGTAAAATGATCATCACTAAATATTTCTACAAAGCAGTTAAATAGCTTCAATTTTTTTAAGTATAAGTTGTTTGTCGAAAGTTATTTTTTTCGAAGACACAATATGAATATAAAGACTTATATAAAGTTAATTATAAAAGAGATTAAAGTTCAAAGAAGAGGTCCGCATTCAAGTTCACAATAAGAAAAATTATTTTATGCAGGAAAAATTATGAATAAGTTTTCGCCTAATTTTTGCATTTGAAATATATCTCAACGATGAAACTTTTTTGGTTAATTTTTCAGGTAGATAAATATGGGTATTAAATATGGACTTTAGTACTGTTAACTAGTTTTTAGCCTCGACTTATTCACCTTGCATACATTTATTCATTATTTTTAACAGTTTCTAATTTAAATAAGTATAATTGGTTACGTGCATAATTGCGAATAAGGTTATTGCATAACGGTATTTTATTGTCTTTTACTCCTCATTTAAGTATGTATGTATGTATGTATGTACTATATATTGAGCAACTAATAATTACCTTCTTCTTAATATATTTAGCAATTTTCGAGAGCTTTATCGCTTTGACATTTATTTTGTGCGACGTTGGCTTACTCGCCGGCGGCATATCGAATTTGGGTATTTTTGTTAACGACTCAATTTGATTGCAACTCATCTTGACTGAGCTTGAATAAATGTTTGGCGCAAAACACAAAGAGCACGTTTTATGGCTTATTTGCAGATTTTTTTTAACTGTGATCAAATTTTTTTGCTTTTTTTGTTATTTTTTGTTTGTAGTTTTGTGTGATTTAAGTCGAGCGAATTTAGAATATATTTTTTATTTGGTTTTAAATAAAATGCAATAACTTGTTTGGTTTTGGTAGTTTTTTTTTGCAAAAAATTATGGGCGTTTTTGAAAGTAATTTGCAAGTTTGCTTCAAAATATTTTTTTCATTAATTTCTAAGCAGTTTTATGCTACTAAATCATGTAAAAATTCACAACTTTATTAGTGACTAAATTTATTTGACAAGGCTTTTGCATTGATATCACTACTTTATTGAATTGAATTTTTTTTAAATTGAAAGCAGTCACATTTTCACAATTTCTTCGACGAGACGCTTCCACAAACTTGCTTTGAATGAGCGTGTAGTGAAAAACTACTTGAATTTCTAAGCTTTACTTGCTAAAGAGGCTTGAAAGCGGCGCAAGTAGATCGCTTAAAATGTATTTTTTGTTTTAGCAAAAATTTACTTCAATTTGCTTAAATAAATAATAAACTTTTTCAGTTAAGTACGAGCATTTAGTAAGTTTTGACAGGCGAAGTGCTTTGCTGCTTGGCAGGTCGTCGCGAAACGCCGATCGTTAATTGAACGTGTGTGAATAATAAGAAGCACAAATTGTGACTGAATGAAATGTTTTCGAAAACTTCGAAACGCTTCGTCGGCACACAGCGATGTGACGGTGGCCTAGTGGTCAGCGTCGGTCTTCCTAGAGCAGCGCGATCGCGGCAGCAGCGAATTCAAATGCAATACAATTGAATAGACAACACAAAACATACATACTCGTATATATGTACGTCGTATGGGGGGCTTGACAGTGCTCCCCACATATTAGGCAAATAGCCTGCATGCCGCGCAGCCAGCTTGTCGGCTTAGCGCGCTTTTGAGTGCTCGAGCGAGCAATCGACAATGTTGCAGTTGTGACGATCGTCACAATCGTGGCTTCGTCGTTGCAGTTACTTGTTGCAGCATAAAATATTTACAACAAAACTGAAATTTTTACTTTCTTTTTGTTGCTTATCAGCAGTGCGCTGTTGACTTTTGAGAGATACTATTTCGCTCTCGCAGTTTTACATGCAAGCAACATGTGGTCGAACTCGCAAGATCTCCAATTGAAACTACAGAGCATGGTTTGTCTAACAAGCAATATTTAAATGAAACTATTAGAAGCTTTTTGGTCAGCATAGACGGCAGCATCTAGTGCATGCCATACAAATAGACTATAGGTCATTAGATATTTATATATATATGTGTGTAGATATATATATGCATAATATATATATACATAAGTATCTACACACATATATATTTTCTAAGTATGAGCGTACTTTTTCCATACTTTCTCAGTTTCACCTTGATAGCTTTTACAATTCAATTTCACTAACACTACAGCAAGATGTTTTAGACTGTCGAAATAATTTAAGCACTATTTATGAGGTCTTGACAGGTTTTGTTTTCGATAAAGATTTAAAGCCGTTCAGAATGATAAAGACAGACAAATTCCTGCCAAATGTAAATTCCAGAATATTTAAAACTTATGATAAAATGAGCCTTTTTGTTATTTGTTTTCCTTTTGTTCTACTTTTGCTATTTTTAGGCTGTTCTGAAACCGTTGTCAAAATATTTGTTGCTATAAGTTTGAAACAAGCTTTTGTCGTTATCAATGTATCTTATTATATTTAAAAAATACAGCTACATAATATACGACGGATCGCAAATTTATACTGATAATACAGTGGACGAGGTCGTTTAATGGTGAATGTTGAGAAATCTCTACTACAATTGTTGAAGAGACCATATATTTATGGTTGTAATATGTAAAAAAACTAGAACAAAGTAGGGATCAGTCTGGAGATGAAGACGATTAGATATAAAGATAAAAGAGCCAACAAATTCTATTTTTACCGCTTGAAATTTACCAAATCAAAAATATTTTTGTTAAAAGCACACGCTCGCGCTGTCGGCTTAGTGCACTAATCCACCACACCACAGACGAACTCACCACATGTGCTAAGTTTGAAAATATTTCAAAACTTGAATTTGGTTTGCAATTTAATATGCTCCTTTAAAGACCTATGAGATAGTCGAACTTATTATAATAAATTTCTTAGTACTATATATGCATATACATACACAATTATCTATAAAGAAGACCTGGCTACAGTTATTAACTACACTATTAATATGCTATTTTACCATCTTTTGATTACCAATTGTTTTCCTCACTAGAAAGTCTAATTATTTTTAAATGGCTTAGTCACGCCTTTCGAAACAAGCTTTCAGTTCTCAGAACTTTTTTTTTTGACAAAGGAGTGCTCCGAAGCCAATCTAATTTGATATGGATATGCAACAACATTTATGTAATTGATCTTTATCGATATTCAAAAACATTTTATTTATTTTTCATTTTAACGATACAAGAAATGTCCAACAAAAAGACATAACAACCAATCATCTACGAGACTGAGCTCAGTTAAATGAATCTTAAACAAACCTAGATCGTAAACCGAAAGCTTACGTGGTCTATACCAGCTGACTTTTCAATCAGACAACCAGTTATACCATCCAAATTGTTATATTTATTGGACTATGAATAAAATCGAATAAAGATCAGCACAAAATAATTCTTTTAATAAAAGTTTTCGATAAATTATCGGAAAATTGAGATAATTAGTATAAAATGTTGATCTTTTATTGGAAAATATGGATAACTTATTTAAAAATATCACTATTTTATTGCAAGAAATTAATAATTTATGGAAAAATATTGATATATTATTGTGAAAAATATCGATAATTTATTGTAGAAATCAATGATTTATCGGACAATTTATAAATTCTGAAATATCGATAATGACATATATATATATATATATATGTATACTTATATATTATATAACGAAGTAAACAGATGCTGAAAGATATCGATTAACACAGTATGCCGTTAAGCCTTTGACGTTTTGTGTATTACAAGCATGGAGAAATGCAATAAATTTGAATTTAAAAACGATTTGACCGCTACAATGTTGCAAAAATTAAATATTGTAAATAGGCGTGAAATGTAGAAATATATTTACATACAAACAGCTATACTTGTATGAATACGTGCAGAGAATAAACTGGAATGCATTCCTTTCCAGTCACTACGGCATGTAAGGGGTAATAAATTACGATGCGTACAAACTTGTACCAGGTGCACTGCGCCGGTTTGGCCATAAATCTATAAGTAAAGTGGGTAGCATCTTCACTTATTTTACTTTTTCTCTTTAGTTACTTGTAATGATTTTATTGAGATTGCGTAAATTATTTGAATTTTCTTATTCTCTTAATATCTGCGCAAAATAACTGCAAAAGCCGACTTATTAAACTTAAACAATTCTATTAAAGTGGAGAATTTATGACAGTATTGAAACGATGGCACGATTTGCACTACCAAAAACTGGTCAAAACAGAATTTTTCATTTCATTTCAAAGTGTTCCGGGCTCATGAGAATGCCAAATACATATATATATATATATATGCTATAGTTGACTTAGTTGAATAAAAATGTCATGAAAATATGAAGAACACTTTAAAATACCCTTAGCGCGTTTCTGTTTTATACTTTTTTTGTTACAAATTAAATACTTACCCCTGCTCGACTGCCCGACCAAAAAACAGGCTTCTTTAGTACAGCCGCCTCTTAACTTGAAGGCTAAATGGAGGA